AGAGGACCAAACCCACTGTCACCAGTATCTAGAGTACTATATTTAATGCTAGCTAAGAATAAAATAGCTTATTTAACAAATCCTACTATTCTTACCGAAATAAAGTTTATGGGAAAAGATTTTTTCAGTCCCAGACTCCTAATTTTTGGACTGACAAAAGATACAACGAAATCTTCCATTCTTGATTACCCTGAAATTTGTGTATAGAACTAAATATGATGACGGAATTAAAACTGTTTAATAATGTGCGAGTGTAGGCATCGAACACAAGGTTCATAATGTTTAACTTTTAAAATGTTGAAAACAGTATTATATTCTTAAGTAAATGAATATGATCATTGTTCCCGACATTACACTTTTCAAAACAGTAAAATAGTGTTTCGATAAAATTCGTCATTTATACGTAATGGTCATTTCTGACATGAGGAAATGTATCATTATATGCATGAACGCGCTTAAATAGAATGTAAAACATGAATACATCTTCGATTATATTTTGAAAACACGAAAGTAATCATGACACACTAGCACAACTAAATGCAGTTTCTATAAGAATGATCCATCGACATCTGAAACTTAATATTTCCCACTGAGTGTCCTTATGAATACAAATTATAGATTGAACGGAAAGGCAACTGTCACATCGAATGATGAATTACTTGTCGAATTGGTTGAAAATATGCGAAATCAAAGTGTCAAAAATTTCAATGACGAGGCCCCCTGTTGCCTACGGACATGATATTGACAATATGAAGTCACTGACTCTTGTCAGTCAACAAACAAAAAACACGAAGGTACTGGCAATTATGCAGGTTTGTGTAATTGGAGTTTATGTACCTATCCTCAGCCTATCGAAGGGAATGGTAGTCACTCTGAATCTTCCCAGGTAGCGTGTTTTACTTGTGGACTGTTATTATTATTATTAATAAAACCTTATTCTATTCTACCTGTTATTGATATTCCTGATTCATTTAAAACAATCTTTTATCAGTAGCATTATCTTAACAGGTTTTAAAATTTTTATTATTACCAATAGTATCATCATGGATACTGATTAGTTTGCAGTGCTTGATATTTTCAAGTTCATTCTCTGATAACAAGTTGATTGTGCGAAGTAGCTGAGCCATGAGTCGTTATTATCTCAAACTCAATCACCTAAACTCCCACTTTTCTTTGTGAACATGACCTGAAAAACATTTCTACCTATCGTGTCGCATGATTGATTTAGTGTAGTTTATTTGCTTATCAGCCTTTTATCCAGCAATGTTATTCTGATGGTGTGAATATCTCCATGTATAGAGTATTCAGCTCTTAATTTCTACATTGACATTTAATGAAGTAAACAAATTTTGGCTTGTTAACTATTTGTTGATTGTCTTAAACAGAATAAAGCCCATCAAATGTGATCAGAATTAGACCATAGTCGATACCATCCATTCACTCATATCTAAGTAAACTCAAAAATAAATTGATTCAAACATAACTAGGAGAGAGGACATAAGACTAGTTCACTCACCTTTAGTTTTGTGGAGCTTCAGATGTATGTGCCTTAGAAATGATTTAGATTGTTTCGCATATATACATTTAAATACTGAGTTTGTTAATGGTCATCGAAATCAATATTGAGTATACCAGTGATCAAATTCCGTTTTGAATCTCAACGATTTTCATGAAGTCTTTATACACATTGAAGTAAAATGTCGGAATGGATCACAACATCATATTTTTAACTATGGGTGAATTCTTTTCAAACGAAATTTATGCTATCGATGGCTTAAGGGTTTACGAAGTACATTATAACTTCAAATCGATGAAGTGTGTTTCTCATGTATTTGACTTTCCTAACTAAACTATATCCTGGGGAGAAAAGACAGGGAACTTCTTTTAGCGGACACTGAACGATATTTTGTGATCAATTTTTCGATTTGTTTAGGCGAACGTTTAAGTCATGCGTAAAATCCCAATCAGAAGATATTTCTAGAATATGCTATAAATTACAAAAATTCACTTAATACACTTTACAAACACCACATTGTGAAGTGTCTATGCTGTACGTCGTCTAATGCTGTGTCAGTGTTGGTCAATATGAAAAGAATAATTGACGTCTTCGATTGTGATTCGTGCACCTGGTCAGGTCACGTTGTTGAGCAGTCTGTTCTTGGTTGACTGTTCCCACAGTCTCTTGCTGCCGATTCTTCCGGCCTACTATTTGATGTTCAGCATGGAGCCAGTAGAGGCTGCTGTTGATAACAGTCTCCAACCTGTTGAAAATCCTTTTCATGATGGGCTTACGACGTTTCTGTCCCATATGGCAGAAGTGACTGACTTCACACTTTTGTTGAAAATCCTTATCTCGTCCTGTGTGTTGGTTCAGTGCGTAAGATAAGTGGACTTATCAATTCATTATGGAGGTGGTTGAAAAACTGGAAGATTGAATGAGAAAAAGTTGAAGTTAGGAGATTTGTGAGAAAGGAAGCACATCCAGGATAGAATCAACCTCAAATAATTACAGTATCACCCCATGCTAACAAGCGTTTCTGGTGTACTCTGCACAATTTCCCAACACCATATGTCAGCTGAAATTCACATTCAGCCCTGAAGTTTATAGGGACTTGCGAACACAAAAAATACTCATTGGAATCTACGTTTCGAAAGTAATGAAAGAACAATATTTGATTACTAATTGTTATAGTAATTGCAATCGCAAATACTCGTCAACCTTCAATCAATTCTTCAACGATCCCGTTAAATTCGATGTGTCATTTTTCAGTTAAGCTACTCTGAATTCGAAATTCAATGATTTCACAAGTTTACTAATCATAGTTTTGATAATATAACACAATAACCAATTTATACAAAGTTACAATTAACCAGTGGTTAGTTATTGAGTCCTATTCTCATGGTCAGAGTGCCTAAGAATATTGGATCATATACCAAAGAGTGAGCACAAAACTATGTGGCGTGTTCGTCTTCTGTGTTTCAGAAGATAGGCGGTGATGACAAAATACAAATTTGCAAGTAATCTCTGTTTTCAAAAACAGAGTGTTAAATCTGTGTCAAATAAAATGACGAATAGCGAGCTTATTCTTTAAGAAATGATGACAATGGTAAGGCAAGCATCGAAAACTCGGTTGATTTGTAAGAGATCTTTCTTCAAATTTACCTTATTATGATAGAAGACAACCACATATTCTTGAAAACAAGGTAAATTTTACTCCACTAGAATCACAAAGGTTTTCTGTCACTGATGTATGTAACTATACGCGCCACTAGAATGACTGTTGTAATAATTCCGTATGTTTATGCGATTAATCCATTTAGATATAAACTTCCACTCTCTACAAATTATGGAAGCGATTGCATTATTCAACACACACTGTTCGCTGCAGAAAATATAGACGCCTTTATGTGTTTCCATCAGGTAGCTTTAAAGTGTATGTATGTATGTATGTATGTATCACGCAACCAAATCAATCACTCTATCATTTCTTCATTTTTCTCGAAATTATGCACTATAAAATTCAGTCGTAGTAACGATTTCTCCACGTTTATTGTTTGTATTCATTTCCTTCGTTAATTATCCTTCCTTTCACATGTTAATACTGACTAATTGTTGTTGAAAGGCATATTTCAAATAGACTGGTAAACTGTTTGTATGTTTTGAAAAGTCAGTATATATTGGAGTAAAGATGAAAGTCAGATTGAAAAGTAAACATTTGTTCGCTAAGTTGCCCGTTATTCTAAATTGCCATCTCATTCACTTCATATTAAACGATTGAAAGTGTGCTCATAAAGTAAAAGTTGTAAGTATGAAGACAAATGGATTTCAAGTCTCTTCTATTGTGTGTACGGACGGAAAGACACGGAAGCCAAGGCATATTTTCATATACATATATACATATATATAGTTTATATTATCTAACCAATCATTGAGCATGTGATTTTGGCTTACACTAAACGATATGAAATAGGATGTTCAAATGCACACATAGTATTCTGTCGCTGACGTACTTCTGAAATGTGGTAATAATATTTGTACTCTAGCAACGAACAGAATTTTCAAACAGATATATCGTTTTCTGTTGCTAATGCTGCATGGAACTGTGGGAATATGTGAGAGTAGTACTCCATTGTAACACATTGTCTGTCACACAACCACACTATCACTTAATCTCACTCCATATGATATGGCGCTAAATTTCCTCACAGTAATTCCGCTGAAAACATCCTTTGACTGACTTAACACTAAAGACTATAAATGAGTCATTTGACGCTCTTCATCAGTAACTGAAATTGATTTCTCACACAAGTTAACACATATTATTACTATAATAAACATGCCACTCCTATACACAATGCACCTCACTCTCGAGCTTAGTTTATTGAGAATGCGGATCGACTAAGACGTTTAAGCTTTTTTCTTAACGTACGAGAATGTAATTTGAATGATACTTCTCAAGGTGTGAATTCAAACTGCACACTTTTACCATGGAATCATATTTACAAACTACCAGAACGTTTGTTGTGCTGAGAATTATAAATTAAATTTTGGTTGTTTCTTCAGAAGAAATTTTGAAATATGCATCAATTCACTGTACAAACATGTGAAAAACAATCAGAAATAGGTACCGATTCGTAGATGATAACTAACCCTTACAAACCAAACTATAGAAAACTTTGTATTTGCGGATTTAATATTTACAAAAATTACCTTATTCACTGTACGAAAGACGTCAACACAAGTGAAATCGAAAGCAAACTCAGCTATGAATAAATGGAATTTTCGGCAAATTAAAAAAATGATGATGCATTGTCAACGAGAACAATTCGACAGCCATTCCACAAATCAGTATTTCTTTTTCAAATGCCTTCATGTGTCTTGAGCTACTTATAATGTTAGTCTGGGATAAATTTGTGCGAATAAGCTTATCATGTGACACCAAATGACGAAGGCAAGAATAAAATCCATGGAGTTGACGGGAAACCACCGCATCATCCACCTTCGAGTATTGACACAAATAAACATCACCTAAATTGTAAAGAAGCAAAACGAATTCACACACAAATGATTACTTTATATCAGCATAAATTTTACGGAAATTCGTATTCCATAGTGAGGAAAACTATTAAATTTTATGATCGCAATGTCAGTATGATGAGGTGAATTCTACACGCCTCAACTGCTGTTGAATTATTCAGAAATTCACTATCAGCTTCCATGATTTTCTGCGAATGATTTCTGTTAGACTAACATCAGCACTTAAAACAAACTGTCGCTGAAATGGAGTGATTTTTCGAATAATTAATTTTTGTCGCATATGCTTCGGATAACAGTCTGTACTTCGTTTTCACGGACATTTACAGACTACTTATGTATTTATCTCACTTGACAAGTGTTCGCCGACAGCATTTCTAGAATGTTATGTTTCCACCACTTTACGTATTATCGGCGACTCTGATGGATGGCCGCTCAAAATAAACATGCATATGTTGTTGTTGTGATGGTAAGATTTCTCATGAGGTTTTCTTTTCAGATTTATGGGTAGAAAATATCATTATCTGTCTTTATGGTTGAGGAGACGTGAGGGTACGGCAAAATCATTAGTCATCCTTAATCAACCAGTTTGGTTGAATAGCTAGTTTCTGAAGGTTGCTTCTTCGTCGCAACTCAACACTTTCACCTTAGATTACCAAACGTCTATATTCTCCATAAGATGTATTCCAATGAAATTGATTCGCGGAAATATTTTAATATCTGAAATCCAATTCGTCCTTATACTTACAGCGTCCAGGAAAATCGTAAAACGTTGTTAAGCTTAGTGATAATATTTCACAGAAAGTTGGATGCTGTTTGATTGACTTTCATCATAATTGAGGTTTTAGATGTCATGGTATTTTCAGCATTGCTCTGACCGAGGTTTTAACATTACTTACAGTTTTAATCTACTATCAGTTGGCACTTTGTAACATAGTGCACATTTATTTGGTATGAACATATAACGACTGATTTACGCTGTATAATAGTGATGCGCTGTAAGCAATTTTTAACTGCAAAAATGGATTGTAGTGAATACACTAATTTAATGGAAAACTTACGGAGAGTATAAATAACGCGACTGGAACTCCCAGCAATATGTAGATTATCGATTTCTAATAAATGCAAAAAGAAGGTGTTACATTCACATGAAGAAATAAAAGCTTTATTGCTGCATGTTAATTATTGTTCCAGTAAATAGACCGAAGTAAACACTGCTAACATGTTAACACTGACAATAATAAAAAATTCCTCAAAATATCCTCCTCTCAACACATTGATGTCAAATTATTATAATAATATTAATAATCTACTTTATTCCAAAATCAGCACTTATAATACAGAATGCAATTACCAGCCTTTCTCACAATATTGCATCTGATTTAATCAAAGTATAAACAAAATTGAAAATTAAATCAAATTAACCAGAAGAATTTGTCCACATTTACGGTATAAACTCAAAAATTTTCGAAGTATGAATTGAGAATAATAAATATAATAATAAGAACGATGTGTTTGTTTCAAACGGTATTGCCTATTCAGTTTGAAAATGTTAGCCCGTTATATAGTATTGAATTTAATGTTCTATTAATAAAGTATGGTGAGGGGAAATACAAGATTAATTGTTATAACACAGCTTAAATGATGTTCACACTTATAAAAAAATAAATGTATAAAAACAAAAAGTTTAGAGGATTATAAATATGAGACCTACAACAACAATAAAGGTTGATGTTTTAAGGGTGGAGGAAATGGTTTATTTAATAGGGCAAAGAAGGTCCTTAAGTTTATGCCCAACACTATTTTCATCACATAAAGTAAGTGGAAAATGTGGTTTGGTGGCATTTTTATGCTTAGACGTACCAGCATAAAGTCGTCTGAAAAAAGGTCTTGTTTTACCTGAGGAGACACAAGGTTGGAGCTGCGGGTGCTGCTGTGGATACTCACAATCTGACAAAATTCCTCTAGCAAACTTGTTGCATGAAATCAAGTGCCTACCAATGACGATGTCAGCGATATGTCACACGAGACGCTAACTGCCCTACTGACCGATAGTCTTCAGAGTTCTACGAAGTATGACATAGTCTTATTGAAGCAATCCAGGAAATAATAAGAGTGAACAGTGAAGAAGAATAGGTAAGATGCACGAGTTGACAAACTGTAGGAGGAGGACTTGAGTTATGCCTGAGTGCCTTCATTTCCTAATATAAAAAGTCAGACGAAATATTCTTTTGGAAATCACTGACATGGGAAGACCAGAATTGGTTAGAAGAAAGAAATAATCCAAGATACTCAACTTCAGACTTGATTTCTATATCATTATCATCAATTTGAAAATGGTGATAGGAACCACCAGTTAATATAACTTTATTTTACATCGGAAAATGAAATTAACAGTCTGATATCTGCAGGGATTTAGTTTAAGACAATTAGACGAAGACCATTTGCTAACTTCTGATAGAAAGCTGTTCATCTTATTACAGTCTTGCTAGGAATTAACAGACAATAAGATAGATCATCCGCGTACTTAACAAAGTTCATTTCATCAGAGTGAGGCAAGTCATGCAAGAAGAAAGAAAGCGAAAAAAGGGAAAGGACAGCACTCTGAGGGACTCTAGCCTCAGTCATTCTTGAAGTGGACGACTTTCCCTGACATACAGTGCACTGCTTTCTTCCTGAGAATGCAGCCATTTGACTACCTAACACTCAGTTTGAGTTTCGGAAACCCTGTTGAACAAATGTTTCTAGATAATAAGTAGAAAGCAGATGTGTAATTTAGGAAGGTGCAGTGAACAAATTTAGCCGCCTTGTCTAAACTGAGGACGTTGTTATGATTCAAGACTGCAGCTGCATCTAAAATACTTCCACCATGTTTTTAGGCAAATTTTCTGTTATCATTTAAAGCTTTAAGGGAAGGTTGAAGAATAAGTGAACATAACGTTTCCATAGTTGTTAGAGAAGGAGACGTAATTGCAATAGGTCTAAATTTAAAACATGTTCCAGTAGATAACTTAGGTATAGGTAAAGTTTTAATGTCCTTCCAAACGGCTAGCACGACATTTCTGGAAAAAGACTCATTCAATATGTCCATGAAAAGATAACGCAAGATATCTGCACATTTTCAAAGAATAAGGCTAGGCAAACCATCTGGACCTAGGTCACAAGAAGTGTTCAGCGACCGTAGACATTTAAGAATGTCATTTGTATTGAAATCAGGGTAACAGGTTTCATTAACACGTAACTCTAGAAAGTTTGACATTTCTGGGAAAATGTATTAAAGACTTGTTTAGTGTGCAAACATCAAATGAATGAGGAATACTGTGCATCTGCTTACCACAAGTAATTTCTTTGAAGGGTTTCTATATATTAGAGGCATTTTTACAAGAGATAAACTCCTGGTTATAAATTGAATTCAATCGGTGCATTTCACAGTTGATTACAATGTTAATTCTTTTCACACCAATGTTACCCTTCATTTTATATAACATATATTTTACTTTCGAAGATTGTTAAATTGAGGGGAGGAGAAACGGTTAAATCTTGCGCAACAGGTTTCAAGACAAAATTTGAGATAACATGTAATATTAGAAATAAAGTCATCAAGGGAGTCTTCATTAAACAAGCCCTCCTTTTGTCTTTGAGCATTCTCCTTAGATTCTGAACATTTTCCTTACAGTAACATACATGTGCAATTTTTTTGAACAGGTGTGAAGAGGTTCCCTTGTGTATCTTTCCACGGATTTCTGGTAAAACCCGTACAATACAGTAATCGAAGTTAAACAGTGGGGCTCTTTTACGAGCTTCACATATTCCGCGATCATTTAAAATACAAGATCAAGAGAAGTTTCCAAACGGTTGGGAAAGTTAACGACATTTTCGTGACCTTGCACTATAAGAAAACTGCAGTCAAAAGAATTGAAATCGTCTATCACTATGTACAATGAGTTTTCAAAAGAGGCGTCAGCGAAAATAGATTGTTCTGAAGTATAACACCAAGATATGGCATAAATGTTCATGATAAAAATGACGTTGTACTAAGACAGGTGTTTAGGTCGACATTTAACAGTTATTCAGTCAATATTATCATTGGAGAATATAAAGCAGAGCTTCTCGGCAACAGACCACTGAGAATTGATGAAAGAAGCAACACCACCACCTCACTCCTTCCTTGAACTACTTCGGTCTTGTCTGTACATATTGAAACCATTCAGTAAGATTAAATTGTCATCATATGAATCGTGCAGCCAAGTTTTTTGAAGCGTTATTACACTTGTATTACGATAAATATTTGAACATAATAGAGCATCCAAGTAATTAATTTTGTTCGATAATGACCTGCAATTTGTGCTCATAACACAGGAACAGTCATCTGATGCACTGGAGTACACTTTAGGGATGGTTGCCACTCATCATGATGCTTTTTCTCAAGGTTATTAGAAACTCGGAAACCATCAGGTCGAGAACATTTTAAATAATCGTGAGAGTAAGAAATACGATTTGAAAACATAATTGAATGAATAAAACAAAATAAATCCAAGTAATCAGATGCAATACAGGTGACGCACAATGTTTAAGCAGACCGCCGCTGTATCTGAACTACTTGGCATCCTTTGAAACGGAGCTGAATAAGCTTGGTTGAAATAGCAAACATGGCAGTAGAAGGCAGCGTTGACCGAAGGTATATGAATGTCATTCAGCATACTTTACAAAAATTACTAGGTCGTTTTATGAACCCCTATAACAATCGCTGACACTCAGTGGATAACCAGCTACTTATACTGATATTTCATCCTCTGTTGTATTCAGCGTTATTAAGAAAGAAGTCATAAGCAACAGGGCATTTTAAAATGATGTGCAGATTTCATCACATTTCATAATTATAATATAGAAGTCCTAAAGACATAAATTAATGTAACTTACAACTTCTGGTTGAGTGATCAAGGAATAACATATCCTTACAACTATAGCTGAAACCCCAAGCACGTCTGATATTGCCAAAAATATGATGAACCCCTTTTTACTCAATGGAGGCAGTTTCATGGCCACCAAGACAACCCAAACAGTAAAAATTATTGTCACAGCTAAAGCTATCAAAACATATTTCCACCCGATTGGTAAGAACGCAGAAGCAAAGATCACAGACCACAATATAACCTATATCAAGAAAACAATAACAGTGACAATTAAGTAATTATTATATGATATGTCAAGACGTAGTAAGAAAATTAAGCACATGTCAAATGCAATATTTCCCTCATTGCTTCATGAGTGGGCGAAATGCAGAAAATAACTATTTCTTTCACGAACAAGCAGTCTACATGTTCGATGTTGCAAGTGAGACATTCCTGAGTTGTGAACAATAATATTTCGAATGAGATAGATAGACTGAAGTGTGAAATTCAGTAAGCTGTAGAGTTTTCTAATATTGTCAGTAACAATTAACTTTATGTATTGGGAACGGATGCTTCAGTGCCCTGACAACGGAATAACACTGTGAAATATTAAATATCCTGATGAATTTATTATGAAGTGAAATGAAACCTATTGAAATTAGAATCTGAGTTCAGCAAGTAGGTTATATGGGACCACTTATGTGCAAGTAATATCACTGGAAATTGTTCAGGAAATATTCAGGATGATTTCATGCGAACTTGTGTATCAGATTACTTCAGTGAATTGGATATCGTTTAAAACTGATCCCAGTTTTGCATGAGATCTTCAATATTCAGGTCATTTGCACATCTCGACTAGTATTTATTATGCCTGTATCAGCTTTATTTGTTAGCGAATGTTCAAGTGTCCACGAAGATGATTTCCTTCTTCCCCACATATTTTATCACACTTTCGTATTATTAAGCAACAAGTTTTGATACAGATGTCGTTGAAAGATGGGAATGGCAGGCGACAGAAATAGTAGAAGCCATCTCATTAGCAAGATAAAAATTGACATGGATATTTGTTTATATTACGCAGTAGTCGTTTTATTTCTCACAGAAAAATAATGCAAATTCTCATAGCTTCATAAAAGGTAACGTAATACTGATACTCACCACAATCCAAAGTAGTATTCGAACAGCGTAATCATTCGATCGAATTCCTCTCACGAATGCAAGTAGAAGTAATAGAATGGTGGTGACTGACCTAAAATGAATTCGGAAATGATTCATTACATGATACCTGCGGTAGAAATCATGTTAATGCGATATCCCACATGGTAGATAGAAGATTCTACACTCGATCCATGCCTTAGAGAATGAATCCGTTTTTTATTCGTTGTTATCACTGTCGAACTTGTTCAGTGATATAGAGCACATATATGTCATCACAAAAGTCATATTTGAGACAGAAGACACAAGGATGATTGTGATGGAATGAAGATATGATGAAGTTTCCTAGAGATAATCCTCCTGTATTTATCAATTGCATACATGCATACATGTTTCAAATCCTGATTTTTGGTATTCAGGACAAATTTTCTGTCATAATGAAAACTGTTTGACCATCATATGTCAGGGTAGATTTTAAAGACAAATAAGTTTACGACGTAATATACATGAATATTGTCCTCATTTCACACAACAGTAGTGAGCGCGAGTTAAATAAAGTAACTGTTTAGTCGAACACTTTATATAAGCAGTAAACAGAAGGTCTTGTGAGCCAGTTATGAAATGCCCACTAACTAAGCAGGTGTTCTGATATTCAATTGCTAATCAAATTACTCCTAATCTTTGACTAGTTTGACACCTAGTAGTAAGCGTGAGAGAAAGGAGTGTTGTTGATGAAGCTAGCAAACTGATTTCTTAGAAACAACACGAATGCTTCGGAAATTTCAGGACCTCAAACACGAAGTATAATACAATGAACGAAGGAAAGTATGACTCGACAACAGTAAACAATACAAGAGTCAAAAAGAGAAGTTACTTATTTATTGTCTTTTCAGATATTTTAAAATAACTAATTGATGGGTAGCTATTTTTCATTTGCTTTGTTATGTTACAGCTTGCTTCCACACAGTATTTCGGTGCAAGTATGGAATTCTCAGCATGTGATGTCGACAGCCCAAATTTATCAGGCCGACCATTGGTATCAGATGTGCGTCGGCCAGAGACTGATCGCCAGACCATGTGCATGGTCGACGAGCGTCACAACTACTGTGGCGAAAATGCATCGGGTGGCATGGCCATTGTTGTGTTTTTATTCCTAACAATAATATTTCCAAATTTGCATGAAGGACCAGCTTATTTTTTAGAGGTTCTTTCAAGTAAAGGAATAGAATAATATACCCCATGAAGTGTAGTGAAATGAAGGCTTTGTGAATTCCTTTCCCCGGCATTATTCAACTTAATAAAGGAGATTATCGGCATGTAACAAATTGAAAAATAGAGAAAGTACTATAAATGAATTACACTCGCCATCTATTAGAGGAATAATAAATTGAATGAATATATTATAATGTTCAATGGATAACTCACATCATAATATACACAAGATTGACGTGTCCTTTAAAAAAATCAGATATGGTTGATCTACAAAGCAAGATGATGTTTTTTTATCTTTTTTAATCCAATCTTACACATTAGTAAACAGGACGACTAAACCAACAGTGACTGACACCATAAGCGCTATATTGATAAAGAACTAAGAGTAAAATAGCGTATTCAATAAATCATGCTACACTCACCGAAACGAAGTTGGTGGAAATTGGGTTCTGTGTTTCCTGTCTCTTAATCTTTGGACTGATACAAGATGCAACCAAACCTACCATCATGATATATATTGAAATCTGCGGATTAAGATAAAGATGACAACAGGACGAAAACGTTTTAGTAATGTGTGAGTATAGGTGACGAACATAAGGCTGGTAAGGTTAAATTTTTGAATTTTTGAAACGGTATTATTCTTGAGTGAATTGGATCAAAGTTTCCGACATTATTTTTCTCAGATCTGTGAAGTTGGTTGGATAAAATTCGTTATTTACGCTTGTTTGTAGATTTTGACAGAGAGAAATTTATCATGATATGGTGAAATACACATTAATAACCTGTAAAACCTGAATAAAACTTTGAAAACATTTTGGATACAAGAAAGTATTCATGAGAAACTGACATAACCAAATGCATTTTCTAAACCAGTGAGTTAATTTGCATTTGTTGAAATATGATGTGTGGATCAGTAAGGCTTTATATAATGACGCCTTGCTACAAGATTTGAAGTCTGAAATGTGAACGCCTGTCACTTGGATGATGAGCCACTGAAGATAAAATTTTAGATGACATTCAGCCATTACAACTATTTGCTTCATTCATACGACTGACTAAAAATCACTGAAACATAATTCTGTTTTCTTTCTAACTAAACTATCGACCTTGAAAATTGAATGAATGGACTTGTTAAAACTATGAGGAAATTTTCGTGGTGCTACGAAACTCGTGTTACACAATATCAGTGAACGGGTGCTTCAACAATCTAGGAGAGACCGGTCCCCATTCAACTACAATCGAAAATTAGTATATTCATTTGGAGTGCGTTTGTAGAAATGAACATTTGGGTGGTACGGCAAGTCGATTTTCTGCTCAAAGAATAGAGAATTTGTCAGTGTGGCTGAAAACAGTTGAAGCCGTCGTACGAAAAAGATCAAAAACAAGGGATCGTACATACTGTGGACATGAAAGTGACGCCGTCATGTCATTCACTATTGTCAGCCTACAAATGAAAATAGGAAGACGTTGGCAACTGCTGAGGCTTGGTCAATCAGAAATATTTAACCAGGTGTCTGTGTAGTGAAGACAATGGTAGTTACGCCTTATCAACCATGGTGAAATGCTTTACTTAGAAACCATAATAATAATTATTAATACATTATTTTATTCGACCTCTTCTTATTATCATTCCTGATTCATTTAAAAATATCTTTATCATTAGCACTATCTCGACTCATTTTCACATTATCAGTATTATTATCACCAATAATGTCATTATCGATATTATTCCGTTTCCAATTCTTGATATATTCAGGTTCTTTCTCTGATAACTTATTGTTCATTCGCATGATGTAGCTGAGGTGTTAGTGGTTATCAACCTGATTTCAATCTTTGAAACTCACTTCCACTTGTCTATATGAACTTGGCCTGGAAAACATTCACACGTATGTTTTTGCATGCTTGGTTCAGTTTAGCTTACATACTTATCAGTAATATGTCGCTTGATGTGAATCTAATGGTGTAAATATCTTGGTGTGTAGAATATTTAGTTGAAGAGTTCCACCGACAACTGATGGAGTCTATAAATCCCGGATTATTAACATTTGTTGTTTGTCTCAAATGAAGGAAAACCTGTTAGCTGTGGTCAACAATAAACTATAACCGATACCATCTTTTCATTCTTATTTAAGCAGACTCGAGAATAAACTGATTCCAACGTAACTAGCAGAGAACACTTGGCAACAGTTCACTCACCTGAAGTAACTCTTGGCTTCTGGTTTATGCGTCTTCGAAAACATTCACGTTGGTTCGTATATATAGATATATACCATTTGACTTTGTTCACGTTAAATTAAATCAAAGCATGCAAAGTGATGCAATTCTGTTTTGAATCTCAACATTATTCACGATTTTTTTATACACTTTAAAGTTAAGTAACGGTATGGATCACAACATCATAACCAGCTAGTTTAACTATTGGCGAATTTTTTCAAACGAGTATAGGCTATTGATAGCTCAAAGGTTCACGAAGTACAGAGGTAACTTTAAATCGAACCACTTATTTGTGTGTCACAAACATTTGGATTTCTTAAGAAAACCGAATATTAATGTGAAAAATAAATTTATAAATTTCTTTGAAGTAATTCGGAAAGCAAATTTGCAATCAATTTTCTGACTGAATAAACCGAACTTTTGAGTTACGCATAAAATCGACATCACAGGATTTTTGGAAAATACGTTGCTATTTTACACATAAATTTAATAGACTGAATCTGCAAAGCTCACATTGTGAGGTGTCTGTGCCATATGTCGCCAGTTTCATTGTCATTACTGGTCACTAGTGAAAAACGCACGGCTCTGTGTAGGGTAATTCGAGTGGGAGAATAAACAACGTGCAACTCTTCAGGTCAAGAATAAATGGACCGGAATACAAAATATTCAACAGATAATGCAGCAATGTGAAGCAACATTTAGCAAACACATCATGTGAGATGAATTTTATCGGAGAACTGTAGTTACAGGAGCGAAGTAACGGCATAGTAAAGAAATATAACTCATCCTACTTGTTGTTGATAATTCGTATATAGATACACTAAGTGAAAAGGTGCGCCACTAAGTAACACGTAACGCAGGGTGAATTCACCTGCGTACATCTCCGAAACGAATATTTATTATACAGAACCAAATCGTGATGAAAAAATTTGTCTACTTGATTTTTTGTTTTCTCCCTTAGTTTATTATTAAAATTATTATTATTACTATTATTATTCATCGTCATTTATGACCTTCATGCAAACATTCTCTCAATACTATCGAATTTGCCATTTATACTATCCGGACTTATTATTAGTGATATTATCTCTTTTCTCACTATATTTGCCTACACCTGTTTCAGTTAACACATTCGTTATTTCATTATGAACATCTCATTGCAGTCATACTATCTCCCCTTTAATACACCTCTTTGTAACCTTGATCTGACTTGTCAGATTTCCTACCCCACGCTCTACAAATCTGTTATGATTAATCACCACCACCATTGTCTCCTGTTTTACAATATTTTCTAATCAATTTCCGCCTATCACGTTGGTCACACAAATACGACTATATATTTTCACACCCCATAACTAATCTGTTATTTTACGTTAAAAAATGTATCCGTCACATAAATGGCCATTATTGTAACGGCAATAAATATTATATTTTATAATTGTAAGAACCTGAACAGCAATTATCAAGCTTGATATAAGAATAGAACTTGTGCACTGTGGTAGAGTATAATTCCATTACGGGTAAAATAAAGTCCCCCATTTTTATACAGTAATATTTACTGATGACGTTTCGAGCACAATTTATTACTGCTCATAATCATATAAAGGTATTCACACAACTTTCTAACTTCGTTTACATAACACCATTATTATCCATCGATTGATTTGATTGGTAGTAGTATTATCCATATTCCGGTATGAGTGATGAGTCCTCCCTATTTCACGTGTTGGGTGTAGACTCGATGAACAAGGATTCATGAAATTATATAAACGAAATTAGGAAGCTGAGGGGACACCTTTATATGATTATGAGCAGTAATAAATTGTGCTCTAAACGTCATTGGTAAATATTACTGTATGACACTGTGAGACTTTATCAAAATACATTTTACCCATAATGGAGTTATAAAGCTTATTTATGAAGTTCCCCAGATCTCATATCAAACTATCGTAGTTTTCTACTTACTGAGAGTTGATAATTACAAGAAGCTTGATAGTAATGGTTAGTGATTTCTGTGGAATGTTTCAACTGACGGTTATATACTTCCTCTTCAACCATAAAATTAATAGTTGATCACGGATTGATATCGGTCAGAGGACCATTGAAAACCAGATAGTACTGAACGGCTGTTTCATCCCACTGACCACATTGGTTGGGGTCACGCTAAATCACGAATTGGTAGAAGTTAGAATTCATGCGTTGGCCATTTATTCGGATCCCAGTGGGTGAATGGTTTACAAGCTTGCTTTGTAACCTGGAAGTCCTGGGTTTGAACCTCAGTGGATGCGTACTGCCGCTGATTCCCAAAGCTAGGCTGAAATAGCTGCGCAGTACTCCAGTGCTGGTTGTCAATGGTTCTCTAACTGATATCAATCCGTGATCAACTCGTAAAAACAAAACTAATGCTTACAAACCAACTTTAGAAAATATCTTTTATTGTTTATATCTAAGATGTAGTCATTTGGTTTTTATTCTCTCAGTATGAGAATTCACACATAGAATCGAAACTTGTTTATATTTTCTGTACATATTCTGCTTGTTTTCCGCATTTGTCAAACTCAAGTACTTTGCATATTGCCAGCACTTTTAATCGCATTAGTTTTACTCTCCGTAATTTTTCTGATTTTATCAGTGAATTCAGTACAATTGAGTTTGCATTTAAATTATGCACATCACATCAGGTGCTTGATGATAACAAACTGGCAACTTGAATCACTTGATTTATCAGTCTTTATGTGCTGACAATGTTCACAGCATTCTTGAAAATATTTTAGAGTGTGGAACCCTGAATCATGAAGAAAGTCAAACAGGCATTATCCGGTGTATATGTGAAGCAGTGTCATTAATGTTTATTAGCTTTGAGTGATTTTCACGATTTTGTTCAGATCATAAGCCAGTAGGGTTTTGGTTATTACGAAATGTTTGTTAATCACTGCTAGGATTCCTTTGCTGTTTATTTCAAGTTGTCATTATCCCCGTGGTTGATACAAAGTGCAAAAATGTGCTAATGTGCGAATTTCGATACGACTTTCATTACTGATTTCTACAGTTTGATTCCGTTGAAGACTGTAGACGTTCGAAAATCCATCGTGATACCGTTGATTCACCGTGAAGAATCTTCGTCCTACGGTCAGTCATTCGACGAAGCTTGCTACTCAGTGATGCCTAGTGACTCAAATGTGCTCGTGTGTTTCCTCAATCCTAAAGCAACATATTGCCACATTTCAACTGGAAATCTGAGATGAAAACCTTGTGCAATATGATAAAATTTAAATCTATCATGCAAACCACCAATGTAAATATATTCGGAAAAAAGTTGATGAACCTTCCTAATTAGACGCTCTAGGTAGCTGACTCTGTATCTGAAGTCAAACTGGTAGATGCTCATAAAGGAGGCAAAACTGGGTAGTTTGTTCTTATTTGTCGAACGTAAAATGGAGGTGGAATTGGAGTGATAGTGTGCCTCTACTGCATTGAAAGCTGTTTTAACTGCACTCTTCAGATGCCGTGTTACTATTTCACTGTTGTCACCGAGGAACTGCAGTTTTATGAGCAATGGTTTTTTTCCAGCTGTTGCCATGCTGACTCTCCTTGGTGCTAAATTCATATTTTTACAACTTATCTGGAGATCAAGTTTTACCGAGTAATCCTCGAATAATCTTAAACTCTATTGAGGAAATCATTTAAGCAGATTATTCTAGCTCTATGAACCAGACACTTTACAAAATTACGTTTTTATTTCAAAGGTGTAAAATTCAAAAATGAGTGTACTGACGTTTTGTTGTAAGTCTCCTATGCACACTTCTTCTTAGTTTGCCATCAATGTTCCTTCGCAGGAAGGCGAGATACTGACATTGCTTTCTTCCTCTATGGTCAAGTTTATTTCTGAATAAGCACCATTAAACTAATCGAGGATATTCGTTGCTTCATCCTCGTTTTTCATAACCAGAAATGTATAAAATACATTTCGACAGTCAAATTCCAGCATATTAGTTACTACGCTCAGCAGTCCATTCTCTAGCACCATCCATTCAGCACCAATGAGAGTTAGCATGTCAAAAGCTGGGAAAATTACATTATAACAAGAAGCGAAATTATAGTAAGGACTTTTCTCTTGCCACTGTAGGACCAGTGAATGTATGTTGCGCTTTTAAATGCAGAGGTCCGGTTTCAGGTCCTGAATAGCTTATGCTTCAGCTATGCACAGATGGCGTATGCAAAGTCCCCTTATATGACGTTGACGTAATCTGTGTAATACTGTAATGCACTTGTGTGGGAGTGCTCCATGTCTGGATATGACAAGGTGTTTGTGGATGAGGCGGCTGATATTCTTCTTTTACCCTCTTGCTAACCAGGCTAACAATGTTGTGGAATACATTTGTGGACTTGACGTTGCGTACGGCCAATATACTGTGCTCCACACGATCAAGTAATTTGATAAATACACATTGAAGTGGCCCAAACCGGTATCTTGTCCTTAGCGTTAGACTGGATTAACTGTCTGCAGGAGACTGTGATAAGTAGATTGGCTGTTGAAAATGTCTTCTTCAGACATTTAGAAAGGCAGTTTCTGAAAATTTCCCTGCGATTTTACCTTTGAACTCTAGGTTCATGAAGAGAATTTTCTTAGCAACAATTGTGATTTCTGCCTACGGAAGTTTGTCCTTCATATATTTGTCGATGAATCTTGGTGGACAACTGTTCTCTAATAGGATTTCACGTAATAAATATAATTCTTTCTCTATCATATATTCAGAGCAGACTTTTTAAATCTATGGACACAAGGTATGTACTAGGTTTCTCTTTCGGATCAGTGGAACGAAGCTCTGAAAGTTGATAAACTGTCCTGTCAATGTCGGCTTGCGATATTTCAGTCTTTGTATTGTACAGTCTTGTTTACTGGTGAGTAGTACATCAAGGAATGTAATTGCCATGTTCGATTCACTTTGTTAGGTGAATTTAATTGATTGATTTGAGGAGATACTCTAAATCAAATCTTTTATCACAAATTATGAATGTATCATCCACGTATAATTGCAGTCAACTTATCGAAGGATCGAGAATATTGTTTACGACAGTCACCATGAAGGAGTCGGCTAGGAGTGGACTGCGAGGAGACTCCATAACTACACCATCTTTCTGTACATAGAATTGTTCACTGAATTTGATTTAGACATTAAAGGTTCATCTGAGAGGTACTTCCTCCAGGTAGTTGATGGGAATGGAAATTCTAGGTTGTTGGTTTCGATGTAGCCACAAATGAAGCACATTGTTTTGGTCATCAAACTTTTATCAACATCTGTCTTTGCTCCATAGTGATCACTGATGATGGTGGTCGATGCGCGCTGTTGAGTATTATCAAACAAGCACGAAGCAACCCACTAATATATCGTAGTTTTCAGTGATTCTTCGACTGACATCAATCCCTGATCTAACTTCAAAGTAATCATTGGTTTCCGAACTAAAACACGAAAATAATAGAGCACACTGTGTATGCATTTTCACAAATACGAAAATTGGTCTGAACTTCCCATTTGTATAACAGTGTTTATCAAGCTGCCCACCGAATCCTTTTGCAGGAGCTGGAATGTACATTCAGGTGACTGAAATTTAGGTAACAGTGGTAAGCCACTAATGAATTGATTGTGAGCTTTTACGTAAATGATTATAAGCGTAATGGATCACATAACTGTAGAAAATGTGCGTCTGAAGAATAGTATGAGACTTTTGTTTTAAGTAACCGCGCATTCAGAAAAACTAATCTCAGTTACTACTGGCCGAATATGTTCATGTGAGTAAGCGAAAAAAGCACAAGTAATTTTTTGCTCATTTTCATAGTAGTAACACAAGTCTGCAGTCTTTTCGATCCAATAATTACAAAAATGATACACGTTTGTTGTTAAGAAATCGATTCTTCAATAATTCCACATGAACAAAGTACATTCCATGTTGCTTAACTGTTAAATTTTAACGTCTAAATGTTACCATTAGCCAGAATATATAATGAAAGAGATTGTTGCTGAAAAATTTTGAATTCTTATGTTTTTTTCACACTTAAGAGTCACTTAAACGAAACATTTGAATATGTGGCAGCATCAGTATGAGGTTTAGCAAAAAATTATTCGGGCTTACATACGGGTACAATTAGGCAGGTTCATCATAGTATTTCCCAAAGTCATCCAGCATGGTTAATCAAGGGACAAACAAGATCTATTCGTAGCTCTATTTCAGCACACCTTGTAAATAGTGAGCATAAGGTTGACGTTAATACTACATTTGAAATTATTTATCGCATTCCTACTAACCTTAATTTTGCTTTACGAGTTCGTCTTCTACATACAGCTGGAGCAACTATTTCATTCTTATGACCACTTCAGCCTTAGTTAAAAGTAATCACTGTTCAAATCGTTTTATTTTCTGTTACGTAATCTACCTGTGCACACGCTTATTCCTCAATTACTCCTCATTTTTCCAAAATTACGCATTATGCAATCCACTCGTTGTAAACATATCAACCTTGTAATTGTGTGTATTAAATTTCTTCGTTAATTATCACCCCACTGACATGTTGATACTGACTGATTACTGTACACAAACATATCGCCGCTTGATTGGTAAATTGTTGTGTGTTGTAATAGAAATGCCATATATATATTAGAGTGGAGCCAGAGATGAGGATCTAAGTGAAAGTATATATTTCTCCGCTCAATCTTTCTGTTTTCTAAATGCCTAAATTAGGAATTTTTCTATATTAAAAAAACTATTCCACGAATACCAATTCACCTTTACTTCAAAATCCTGCAATGTAATTATTATTAGCGAAATAGACACCCCATTCACATCGTAAAAAAAGCGTCGGTGACACAGTGGTTAGGACTCTCGCCGACCATGCACATGGTCCCGGGTTCGAGCCCTCGCCGACGCACACCTGATATCTATGGTCGACCTGCGAATTTTGGGCTACCGATATCCACGCCGAAAATTCCATACTTGTACCAAAAATACGGTGTGGAATCGAGCTGTAATCCAAAATAAAAATAAATAAAGTTCTTCTTGAATGACTATCTCTATTCAGTGTTGACAAAACGTCTTTCTAATGGCACCCAGCATAGTTTTGTGGTGAAATCCTGAACAAACTTTTTTCAGGTACCACATCATGAGTCGTAACACTGTTGCCAGGAATTTCCAAAAAATAATTTTTGGGAAGACGAGAATCTATGCTATAAATTAACCTGATTAACTCTTATGAAGAGGTAAATTATATTCAGATGTCTCCAGGATGGCAGCAAGACCATAAGCATCTCCAGAAAAAAGCACCAAATGGACGAAATACCTCAGTCGACATGGTTATAATACGCTACTGACGCATGTGTGGAGGGAACGGAAGGTAGCTGCTGACTGGAAGAATATCTGTCATAATTGTGTTTTGAAAAGAGATGACTAAAGTCCATGCGAGAAATGACGTGGAATAACGTGTACGTCGGTGGCACACTGGTTAGGACTCTCGCCGACATTGCACATGTTCCGAGGTTCGAACCCCCACCGGCGCACACCTGATATCTATGGTCGGCCTGCGTATTTTGGGCTACCGATATCCACGCCGAAAATTCCATACTTGTACCAAAAATACAGTGTGTAATCAAGCTGTAAATCCAAAAAGTCACCCTTGGACGACCAACTCGCCGCTTCCCTTTCGGGTTCCACTCGAGCGATGGCTTGTCTAGTGGTGTCACTTGATGGTTTCCTCAGCGTATGGCCAATCCATCTCCATTTCGTCCTGTCTATTTGTTTCACAATCGGTTCCTGGTTGATTCGCTCATTGCCAGAGATCCCTGTTGCTGATCTTTTCTGGCCGGCCATCTGATCTTGAATATTGAGCGAAGACAACTGCTAATAAAGGTCTGAAGTTTGTTTGAGATGCTTTTTATGAAGCGCTAGCCAAGCCTCTGATCCGCATATGAGCACTGACGTCACACTGGAGTTGAAAATCCGGATCTTACTTTTGATGCTGAGTGCTGTTGACCTCCACACAGACTTAAGAGTAATGAAAGCTTGTCTTGATTTTCCGATTCTGGCTTTGATGTCCTCGTCAGTTCCGCCTGTAGATGAAACGATGCTTCCCAGGTAGGTGAAGGAGGTTGCTTCTTTCAGGTTCCTCTCGTTTAAGCTGATTGTTGTCTGTTGTTGTTGTTGCTGTTGCTGCTGGCCAGGAATCTTCATCACATACCTCTGTTTTATCTATGTTCACCTTAAGTCCTATCTTTGATGCTTCTTCTGCCAGCTCGTTGCTTTTCACTTGCATATCCTCCAGTTTGTAGGAAATCAGACATATATCATCGGCGAAGTCCAGACTCTCCAAGTTTTCGTGACGGTCCATTTTATGTCTGTTTCCTCATTGCCCGTTTTCTGTCACATTATCCAATCTACTGCAATCAGGAAGATCATTGGCGATAGTAAACACCCTTGCCTCACTCCCGTCCTTACTTCAAAGGCTTCCGTAAGTTTCCCATTGTAGATTACTTGGAATGCAGCATTGTCGTATAACTGTTGGTTGGGGTGTATAATTGTCGATGGGACCCCGTAGTAGCAAAGTAGTTGCCAAATGACGCCTTGGTCAACGCTATCGAAGGCCTTTTCAAAGTCGATGAAGTTGAGATAGAGAGGTGACTGCCATTCCAAGCTTTGTTCAATGATGATCCGTAGAGTGGCGATTTGATCAATACATCACTTGTTTCTCCTGAATCCAGCTTGTTCCGGTCGAAGTTTTTCATCCAGGTTGGCTTGTTTGATTCTCTCCAGGATGATGCGGCTCATCATATATTTGTAATGACGAATGTCTAATTGTTATTGTGTATATTTTTCTATAATTGGTTTGTAAGGATTAGTTTTGTATGAGTGTGTTTGAGTGTATGTTATTTGTCATATGGAAAAGATGTCAATTTACATGTGATAAACATGATAATATATTTTTTAAAAAGTCATGGAGGATCATAGAGATTTTGGTGTTTTGAATGAAACCAACTATCGCGAAGTATCGAGACTGTATGCAGTCAAATGCGCTGTTATTGTTTATCAAAAGAAAGCAGAAATGTATCAGGGTTATTCTTGTGGACAAACAAACAAGGAGTGAACACACAGGTAAAGAATAAAGGTATCCAAATAAACAATGTTCAAAAGACAGTGAAATATAAGGAAGAAACCTGCTGGAATTAGCATTTAATTGTTAAAAGGTAATTCCCACAAATCAGTTCAGAGGTTTATACATTAAATGATATAAATTTGAATAATGGACGGTAATTATGAATTTGGAGTTAAGAAGTACTTAACAAAATATAAATCATACTGCTTGTTACTGAAAAGCAGTATGATGGTGACTGAAAATTACAAGTAGTTAAACAATAGATAGTATAAGATGAATTCGTCTTTATAAAACGGTAGCTATCATGTGCAAAT